GCTGTGGTGGGGCCGCACCGGCCCAGGGAACGAATGGCAGGCTGCTTATATCCGTGAGGGACTTCAGGGCTGCGTTGCTGCCCAGGGGGTTAGGGCGCCTGGAGTTTCCCAGGATTCCCAGCCTGCTGGGCTGAGTGTGCCGGCTCGATTCCATCCAGCTGTGAGGCCCCTGTCCCTTTAAGACTTTCAAAAAGCACTCGTTTTTTTTTTTTTTTTTTGTCTCAGGGAAGCCGGCTGCGGGGACCTGCTTGCACACTCACAGATTTTCCTTTTCCTTTTCCCTAATATTCAGAGCACCATGCAATGTGTGTTTGCGCTCCCGGTGTGGATTACTAGTGCTGGTTATTTAGCTGTCCTGTGCTTCCACTCCCTCCCCGCTCCGACTCCTTTCCTCCTGCCAGTGAGCTGCGGTGAGGGGCGCGCTCACGTCCCACCGGGCCATGGCTTGTATCTTACCCCCTTCGTGAGATGCTGAGTTCTTGCAGATGTAGATGTAGCCTCGCTGTTGTACTGTATCCTCTGGTTTCTCTTGTAGGAATAGTTGTATCTGTTGTATTTTCAAAAATATACATGGTTTTGAGAGGAGATTTCTGCTGCCCTACTCACACTGCCATCTTGGCTCCTGCCCCTTGCTTTTTTTATTTGTATGGCTGCATTGCATTTGTGATTAAGGAGCTGCTTGGATTCTATCTCCTTGTGAATGGGAACACCCACTGAAATTAGAGTGAATTTTAATCATCCCTTTCAAGTGAAGCAATAGTAGAAAATGCTTTTATTTTGTTAATGCCCATCAGTTGGGTTTTTTTGGGGAAAAATAAAAGAGTGCCAGTGCTAGGAAACCTGGTATTTCTAAGACTAAATGGTATGATAGCGTGGCTGACTCCTCTGGGCTCTTTCCTAGGGATAAAGCTGCCCAAAGAGATAATGAAGAAGAAACAACAGATGATCCGCGAAAACTTAAACCTGGAGAAATAGATCCAAATCCAGAAACAAAACCAGCACGGCCTGATCCAATTGATATGGATGAGGGTAAGTGTATGCTTGTGAGGAATTTACTTTGGTAACCATAGATCTCTCAGGCCTCTTTTTAACTCTTTTAGTTCCTTTCTAAACTCTCTGACTTTTTAGAATTCCAGTTCTCTCTGCAGTTGTTATTCTAGATCTCTTTCTTAATGTGCCCAGTCTTCTATTAATAGAGAATTGCTCTTTTTGGACAGTGTCCCTTTATCTTCTAATTTTTTAATTCATTTAATAAATGGAGCAGTGTAATACTCCCAGACAGAATTCCTGGAGACTAGAGGTGTAAGCTCTTGAGGATTCTGTATTCTTAATTCGCATTCTGTGAAGAGAGACAATGAGTTAAGATTTTGGGCTCCAGTCCTCCTATGAACGACATCTTTTGACTCCAGGCAATTAATCTAATCTTTGTGAAAAGGCATACCACAGTACTATGAAGAAGACTTAATGATGCCTCCTTGTGATGCTGAGTCTAGAATCAGGAACTGTGTCTTAGGTCTGTGTCTGCTGCTTATTACTAGCTGTTAGACCTTAGGCAGATCATAATCTCTCTGAGCTTTGATTCTCTTTTGTGCCGGTTGGAGAGTTAAAATACCTGTCTTACCTCACAGGGTTGTTATGAAGCATTCAGTGAATATTTGTTGTTTTTAAAATTTTAAAGTTCAAAGGTAATGGTTCCCAAAGGTATGTCTAGCCTGGCTGCATCATTGCCACATGGTGACCTTTTAAAAATATAGATACTAGGGCCTCCCCAGGAGAACGCAGTAAGTTGAGGGGGCGGTAATCTTGGAATCTAAGTTTTTTTAAAAGTTACCTTGTGATTCCATTGGACAGCCTTGTAAAGGAATTGCTGTAAGTCATCAGTAATGAAAACTATTCAACTCTGAGGAGCTACGGAGAATGTATTGGAGGAGAGAAATAGTTTTGAGGAAAAAAGGTGTATGTAATGAATATTATCAGTTCCCATATAATTAAATAGTAGTTTTTATAATATTTCACAGTTTGTGCTATGCTAGCTAGTTGATGATAATGAAGGATAATTACAGACACTGTTTGGTGAATACTTGCTAGATACTTTACCTATTTCATTCTATTTAGTTCTAAGTATCCCTATGAAATAGGAATTGTTACTCCCATTTTGTAGCCTGAAACATGCTCAGGTAGGGTAAATAAACTTATTCACAGTTATACAGCTAGCAAGTGGTGAGCCTGTTTTAAATTTAGGTTTCTCTGACTTTAAAACCCACGCTGTTCCATTATGCTATACCACATAATGATTATGTTTATGGCTTTTCTCATCTTAAGCACTAGGGGATGTCGCTCATACTTCGCTCTTTTGGAGAAGAGCTTAGTTTTCCTTCTCTTTATTTTTGCAGATGAACTTGAGATGCTTTCTGAAGCCAGAGCGCGCCTGGCTAATACTCAGGGAAAGAAAGCCAAGAGGAAAGCAAGAGAGAAACAGTTGGAAGAAGCAAGGTATCGTTGTTTCTATCCATAATTGAATAATCTGTGCATGCTTAGGCTCAATAAAAGTTCATGATTTATCAACCATTTGGGTATATGATTAAATGGCCCAATTCTAGCTAAGCTAATAGTCTTCAGTTTCTTACTACTTTGGAAAAGTCACGTATTTTTTTCCCTAACCATTTTAGAATAGAAAAAAATACGTACTTTTAAAAATTTTGTAGGACATGGCAGGAGGAATGCCCACATAGTTCACTTCATGTGCTGGATTTGTTCTGTTAGCATAGGAGAGTTTCATTTGTTGTAGCCATCTTGGAGTCAGATGGCATGAGGACACAAGTCTGTGTGACTTGCATGATTACCGGTTAGTTGCTGTCCTCGATTAGTGTTGGGCACTGGCTGTAGAACTGGAAACTTGACTGAACAAAGAGGGAGTTAATGAGCATCCACCAAAATTTTAGGCTCTCATTGATACTTTCATTTAAAGCATGAGTGAAATGAACTATTGACCTCTGCTCAAGGTTTTCTCCCTTTCCTTTTTCCTTTTGGTTAGATTGATGATTGACATAATTCCTAATGGCCCAGAAACTAAGATGAAGTGGATAAAGGGAAGCCTGAACTGTCTAAGAGCTTATTAGCTTTCGGGATTTCAGGCAGTGAAATAACCTCCCTGGCCTACACAGCTGCCTTTTTTGGTCCCAGGGTGGAAAATGCACCCCAGCATTGACTAGCATTGTGCTGATGGTTTCCTCAGTAATGGCTTTCAGTGCCAGATTTTGGGATAGAGGAGTCTTTCATGCCCGAGGATGCTTGTTGTCATAGTTGGCTAGTCACTGGCCCAGAAGAGTTAACACTGTGGGTGTATGACTGGCCTGACACAGTAAACAGAAACCAAGAGGAGGTGCTAAGTTTTCTGTCCAGTTTGCAGTTACTTTCCATTCTGTGTGCATATTTTGGGTTAAGCAATGTGAGTAAAGTTGAGAAAAATTCACTCTTCCATTTTTGTCCATGGTTGGGGACTCAATTTGTTGAACCTTTTAAGCATGTGGACTGGGCTGGGGATGTGGCAAGTGCATATACGAAAAATCTCCAAGTATGGCTGACATAGCTTGCTTTAAATAAATATTTGCAGATTTAAATTTACCCCTACACTTCCTGTAGATTTTCTTGTAGAATTTGCACATCTTTATAACTTGTGTTGTACATGTATCTTGGAATAGACTAGATTGGTCTGAATGCAGAATGTAGTGTAGGGTGTTTAAAGCTAAATAACAGATCTGTTTTATAACTTAAAAGCTTTTTATTGATCATAAAAGTAATATACCCTTCCTTTAGTATTGTACTATTTTCTTGTGGGGGCGTGGTTGATAAAATGCTTAATAGCTTGTTTATATTCATTTAGCATTACATTGTAGAAGTTTTCAAATGGCATGTGAAATCTTTATTGCCTTTATTTACAGAGTGAAATTGCTTTACTATTGAAATGTATCCTTCCAAACCTTTCTCAGTATAGACATATGTTTATGTGTGTGTACATGCACAGTAACATTTTTATAAAATTGGACCATTCTTTATATAGTGTTTCGATGAGAAATTAACTGTTAATCTTTTGGGGGTTCCTTGTAAGTGATGAATTGTTTTTCTCTTGCTGCTTTTGAGATTTTCTCTTTGTCTTTGTCTTTCAACATTTTTGGTATGATGTTTCTGTTTGTGTATGTCCTTATGTTTATCTAAATATTTGAAGTTCACTGAGCTTCCTGGATGTGTGGGTTAATGGTGTTCCATAAATGTGGGAAATTTCTTGCCATTATTTCTATGAATATTTTATTCTTCTGCCTTGTCTGTTTCCCATTTCTGTCACGTGTTTGTTGGTGCAGTCAGTGAGGTCCCGCATTTCTGCGAGGCTCTTCATATTTCTTTATTCTTTTTCTTTTCTTTAGATTGCGTAACCTTTATCCATCTGTCTTCAAGATTGCTAATTCTTCTGTCTGTTCAAATCTATTGAGCCCCCTTTAGTGTTGTTTTCACTTTAGCTTTATACTTTTCAGCTCCAGAATTTCTGTTTGCTTCTTTTTAATCATTTCTATCTCCTTATTGATTGTCTCTATTTGATGCAACATATTTATCATACCTTCCTTTACTTCTTTAATCATAGTTTGCTTTTGTTCTTTGAGCATATTTATAATGGCTTCTTTGAAATCTGTTAAATCTGACATCTGGTTGCTCTCACAGGCAGTTTGTGTTGCCTGCTTTTTCTCCAGTGTATGTGTCATGGCTTCCTGTTTCTTTGCATGTCTCAAATTTTTCTTGGGAACTTTAGATATATTGTAGCAGTTCTGGGTACAGTGTTCCCCTATCCTTTCCTTGTTACTGTTTACTTGTTTACTTTTTTAGTGACTGATTGGATTAGTTAGTAAAATATGTTCTTCCCTTCCTTTCCCTTCCCCCAGAAATGTGAAGCCTCTGACATTGCCCCTTATAGGGGCACGGCTCTTGGGCTTGCAGTGCTCATGACGGACTTTTTTTGACATCTTTTCCCTTGGCTACACCCAGCTGTTAAAATCTAGTAATTGCTAACCGATTGCTGTTTTATTTTCAACAGTGTCTTGGGACATAAATTGCTCCACAAACTCATCCAATTAAATTTGGGATCCTTTGAAGGGAGGTTTCTGATGTCAGTGTTTTTGATACTTGTTTTGGCGGCAGGAGGGTTTGTCCCATTATTTTCTGGCAAACTAGTAAGCTTACAGTTTAGACTTTATCTCCAGTGGATCTATCAGTTCCTTTCCAAGTGCCTTTCAGCACAACTTCACTGTTTCTGAGAATGCCTTTAGGCTTGAACTTCTCCATACTCTTGAAAATAAAGTCAGTCCTTGGGGAGCGATTTGGAGTTCTCTGTTCTACCCCTGGGCTCTGATGCTCTGGGCTCTGAGTGACACCCCTACTTCAGGAACTAACTGCTCAGTGTGGAAGTTGTGGGCAGCAGCACCAAGTCTCCTTCACTTGCCTATTCCAGCATGGAACCCTCGTCTTAACAAGCTGGGGGGGCTGTTGGGGCTCCAGTATTCTCAGCAACACTGTGCCCAGAACCTCTGTCTATGCAGAAGAAGGAAGCCTCTACCTCTTGGCCACTCTTGTCAGGCCTCAGCCTCTGTAGTAGTTATCTAGAGGCAGGATGAGAAATGCTGATGTCCTTCCCCTCCTGGAATGAAGTCCTGCTAGGAGATAGAGGTACGGCCAGTGTTCTTGGCTGTACCAATATGTAGTTGAGTTTCTGTCTCCCTGAGCTGGGAGTGGAGAAGAGAGGAGGGTTTGGGTCTTGATTCAAATGGCACAGTCTTTCACTTTCTGAAATTAGTATGTTTTCTAGAATAAATATTTATCTTCTTTGGATCCTTCCCAGAGACTAAAAAAAAATTTTTTTGGAACGAATTGTTGTCAGTCTCCTTGGGGAGTGGGTGTGCAGAGCCCCATGCTGGAAGTTGCTGCTACGTATTGTTTTGTAACTTGATTTTACTCCATTTAATATTATGAAAAACTTTTTTCATCATGAAATCATTAAAATTACATCATCATTGGAAAGTACAAAGAAAAAAGTAGAACTTAGGTGAGATTCCAACCTTCAGTGATTGACTATTAATATTTTGGTGGATATTATATTCACTGATTGAAATGCACATAATTTTTACTTGTTAACTCTGTAACATGTAACTCCATAACATTTTTTACAGAGCAGTATGTCTTGTGCATCTTTCTGTGTCAGAATAATTTACAGGTTTTTTTAGAGGTGGTGTAGATGGCTGTATACTATCCTATTTTATAGCTGTGTTACAAATTGTTTTGACTAATTTCTTACTGTTGGATATTTAGATTATGTACAGATACCTGCTATTAGAACAATGTTTGGTGAACAGTCTTGTAATTCAGGCCTTGTTCATGTTCTTACTTATTTCCTTAGGCTAAAGTATGAGGAGTAAAATTGCTGGGTTAAAAAATGTGAAAAAATTCAGGTATATAAAAAAATAAGAAAAATTTTAATGTATGTTTCCAAGGTCTCTTTGGGGAAAGCTGTACCAGTTTACTTTCTCATTACCAGTGTGGGAAACTGTCTGCTTTTTATGCCCTTGGAAACTGAATGGTATTAATTAGATGTGCAGAAATGGCACTTGATTTAATATGTGATTGTTTAGTTACTAGTTAAGTAAACCTTTTGTCATTTTAAATATTTGCTTTTTTTTTCCCTTAGTGAAGTATTTTCTTCTCTGTTTTTCCCTTGGGAGACATTTAAAAAAAAATTGCATAGGTTCTTTAATCACTGCTAATATTAATTGCGATTGTTTTTCCTATTAATTTTGCCTTTTAATTTGTTTTATAATTTAAAAAAATTGTGCTGCAGATATATAAAATTTAAAACTCAAAGCCATTGATCTTTTCCTTTACCCTTTATTTAATTTATATTAAGAGAGTACATTCCTATCCAGAGATAAGACATATGTACCTATAATACCTTTGCGATATTGTGGGTTTGGTTCCAACCAATGCAGCAAAGCGAATATTGCAATAAAGTGAGTCAAATGAATTTTTTGTTTCCTAGTGCATATAAAAGTTATGTGTGTTAAGTGTATAACAGCATTATACCTAAAAAAAGTACATACCTTATTTTAATAATACTTTATTCTAAAAAATGCTAACTATTATCTGAGCTTTTAGTGAGTCCTAATCTTTTTGCTGGTAGAGTATCTTGCCTTAGTGTTCAGATAACTGCTCCCTGATCAGGGTGGTGGTTGCTGAAGAAGACTGAGGCGGCTGTGGCAATTTCTTAAAATAAGACAATACAGTTTGCTGCATCAATGACTAATAATTTCTTTGTAGCATGTGATGCTGTCTGATAGCATTATACCCACAGTAGAACTTCTTTCAGAAATGACGTCAGTCCTTTAAAATACTGCTGCTGCTTTATCATCTAAGTTTATGTGATATTCTAAATCTTTTGTTGTCATTTCAATAATCTT